GCTGAAGAGATGGTACAGTGGTCACAGGCATCTGCCTCTGCACCTCATAACCTGAGCTTGATTCCCAGGACCCACATGATGGAAGGAGAGAAACTACTCCCCCAAATGGTGTCCTCTGACCTCTCCATGAACACACACACACACACACACACACACACACACACACACACACACGCACACACCACCCATTACACTCATGCACTACTACACCCAACTTTTTACGTGTACGCTGAGGCAAATTCAGGTCCTCATGATTGTGTGGCGAACACTGTACTAACTGAGCCATCCCCAGGAGCTGCTGGTGGTCCCCACACCAAGACTGCTTTGTGACCAGTCACTCTGGGACATACTCACAGGCAGCAGTGGTGGACTAGAGACAGGGCGAACAGGTGTGCAGCTTGTTCCAAAGAGTGTCTGTGAACATTCTTTCAAGGTTTCCTTGATTGGAGTAGTACAGCATCCACATGACACATGGAAAGAAAACGGGAGCCTGGAGCCCGCAGCCACCTCCCTGTCCCCTGGGCTGCTTGCAGCAGCCTCCCATACTCTTCTTCTGCGGAAGGACCACCCCGCTCTTCAGTTCCAAATCACATTCTAACGCTGCAGAACGGTCCAGTCTGCTTAGCTGTGTTGCTTCACTCTGCTGAGGCAGCAGTTGCTCAAGATGTGGCTTTATAAGACAGGGGCAGTGATTGGCAAGGGATGCTGTGAGCTTCAGGACACTTGCCAGAGGGCAGAGGAAGGCAGGAGAGGCTGTCTTGGAAGACAAGGTCATGCTTTGTCTGAAGGAGCTTCTGTTTCTCTTCCTACTCCACACACAGCTTGCCAAGGCCCTTCCGGTACCTCCTGAAGACCTGGAAGAGAAAAATGCAAAAACTGTTGAGGTAAATGAACTCTTAATTACGGGTGATTTGCTGATGGCTACAGAATTCTGAGGTCAGCTTTCCCTTCTTGGTCTAAATGGCCGGAAAGAGATTTTCTGGATGACCTTGCTGAGGCTCAACATCACCTTCTGGGACTTGGAGGACTCCAAGCTGGCAAGGTCAGGCCCTGGAATATCTAGACAAGAAAACAAGCTGGATGCTTTAGTCTGGGGACCACTTCTGTGGGGCTGCCTGCAGCTGAGACCCTTTTGGAGAGAATATTTTTATTTACAAAATGAACTGAAATTCTTACCTAATGTCCTTCTCTTCCAGTAACCCTGTAATCCAGTTGTTCTGTGCTCTATCGGCCAGTGCTAGTCTGGTAGAATACTTGCCAGTGTCCCAACACGGAAAAACAATGGGGGAGGGGGGGAGACGTCCAACTATGACCTGCCTACTGATTCTTGTATGGATATTTCTTTGCAGCCAAAAATACTATCATGTGTAGAAGATAGAACAGAGATGGGAGTGATTTTAAGGAATTAAACTGAGCACATTGTATAGTGAGGTCAGTTGTTTGCTTGCTTGCTTGCTTGTGCATAATTTTCTTAGTTTTGAAATCTCTGGAAAGCATCATTTTTGCTCTTTCTTGGTAATCTTTGTGAGTGGCACAAGTAACCCCTAAGTTTGTGCTCAGAGTGGGTTCATTTTTCTGCAGAAGTTGACCCTCTAAGCACATCACAGCACCCCTGTAACAGAAAGCGTATGTTTTCCGTGTCAGAGACAAAAGACAATGCTAGGATGTGCTCAAGCCTGTCAGATCCCAAAATGTGAGCTCTGCCTCTGTCACCTCCAAAGTACCAAGTGGTCACACACACATGCAGCACGAAGTCTGTACACCAGGTAAGGTGAAGAACCCTTGTCATCGACTGGCATGCTACACCCCCACAAACATTACTTCTGAATAGGAGCTGGCCCCTTACAGAACATTATCTTGGTGAACAAGATGCTGCTGTCACCACAAACATCTTTTGAAATGATCAGGTCTCATTTGAGAGGTATCACAGTGAGCTAGGACCTGAAATGTCACTTGCTTCTTGGTATCTCCATTTCTCTGTGAGAATGACTAAACCCTCTCTCCATTAGTGAAAAAATATTTTTTTAAAAAAAGAAGAATCCTAGTTGATGCAATCAACAGACATAAGAACAAAAAGTCAGCACTAATTTTTTTTATATAAAAATAAGGCAGTCTTGCCGGGCGGTGGTGGCACACGCCTTTAATCCCAGCACTTGGGAGGCAGAGCCAGGCCGATCTCTGGGAGTTTGAGGCCAGCCTGGTCTCCAAAGCGAGTTCCAGGAAAGGCGCAAAGCTACACAGAGAAACCCTGTCTCGAAAAACCAAAAAAAAAAAAAATAGGGCAGTCTGTTTGTGTGTGATTCAAATTCATTGCTCCCCTGTTGCAAGACTTTAATATTATGCTAAAAGGTAGTTATATCCTAACTAGGTGGTGGTGGTCTTGGTAGTGGTACACGCCTTTAATCCCAGCACTTGGGAGGCAGAGGCAGGCAGATCTCTGTGAGCTCGAAGCCAGCCTGGTTTACAGAGAAAGTTCCAGGACAGCCTGAGCTACACTGAAAGAGAAACCCTGTCTCAAAAAATAAAATAAAACAATGAAAAGTAGTTAGATCAATGAATGAGGGAATATTCTACAGGCATTGTTCTTTCAAAGTCAATCTACAAATTTATTTTAATTAAATGTATTTATTTATATGTGAAGGGTATTGCATGCCACAACTTACCAGAGCACAATTTATAAGAGTCAGCTTTCACCTTTTACCATGTGGGTACTGAGGATTGATCTTGGCTTGACAGGCTTGGTAGTAGGCACTTTTACCCACTGAGTCATTAAGGCGGCCCGATTTACAATTTCTGTTATTGTGCCCTGTGTCTGTCAGGTCCTGTTTTGCACTATGTGGTGACTTAGAAAGAATTGCAAAATGTCCGGAGCACTAAAGGCGATTTCACAGCAAAGATTCTTGTGTTTATTTTGATCAGAATTACCTACGAAAATTCTACCACTTACCAAGCACTCAGTTCCGGTCTGCAAGGAGGAACAGCACCATGGTTGCAGAGAAGCTGAGAGAAATGCAGCGCTTCTTCGGCTTGGCAGAGACGGGCAAGGCAGATGCCGCTACTCTGGAGATGATGGGAAAGCCTCGCTGTGGAGTGCCTGACACTGGTGACTTCATGCTAACTCCGGGAAGCCCCAAGTGGACACACACTAACCTGACCTACAGGTGACATTCCTAGAGTCCGAAGACTCATCCACCCAGCTAGTGATGAGTCTGTGAAAGCTCAGACGTTGTTGCAGAGTGTGAGAAACACTGCAGATGAATGGACAAATGCCCCTGCCCTTGCAGAGTGTGAATGAGCGTGGAGAGTGAATGAACTGAGGAGTAAGCATGAGTGTGAGAAAGCAGAGGACCCTGGGTCTTTCAGCTGTAAAGCTTACCACATTGTCTTTCTTCAGCACCTGAAACGCTGTGAAAGCATAAGACGTCTCTCTATAGTCATTCACTTTTAAGGCTTCTTGTTTGCTGGGGATAATCTAGGGCCCTCTTCTGTGTGTCTTGGGAACAACAATAACAGTAGTATTTGTGGATACTATTTGTCAAGCCACCAAGTGCTTCCTGTGGATTGAACTCCCTCAGCCACCCATGAGAGGGTTCCTAACGTATCATATTCACCTCATGAATGGACACTGATGCTCTGTCCAAGTGGGAGCATGTTGAAAACGAGACTTACTCCAAAAGAGAGTGACTATGTAGTTCAAAGGCGTTGCTCATAATAACAAACCATTCTTGTTCCTCATTTTCAAGGATTATAAACTATACCCCACAGCTGTCCAAGACCACAGTGGAAACAGCAATTGAGAAAGCCTTTCGAGTTTGGAGTGTGCCATCACCCCTGACCTTCACTGAGATCTCACAGGGAGAAGCAGACATCAGCATTGCTTTTGTCCCAAGAGGTAGACTCCAAGGATTTTGCTTTCCCTAGCTAACCTGAGACTGACTGCAGGCAAAGGCTTAACCACAAGCTATCTCATTTCAGAGCATGGTGACAATTCTCCATTTGATGGACCCAATGGGATCCTGGCCCATGCCTTTCAGCCAGGTCAGGGTATTGGAGGAGATGCACATTTTGATTCAGAAGAAACATGGACTCAAGATTCCAGAAGTAAGTGGGTCATGGTTAGGTCGATATACAGCTTCTAAATTCACCTTTCCCACCTTAAATCAAGATGTGTGTTCACAAATACACATCCACTCACATTACTATAGCATTTCAAACATGCAAATTAATTATTAACACTTTTGTTACTTAAAGATAAACCAACTTAGAGTTTAAAAAAGTCAAGCCAGGCTGTGTTGGTGCACACCTTTAATCCCAGCACGTGGGAGGCAGAGGCAGGTGGATCTCTGAGTTCAAGGCCAGTTTGGTCTACAAAGCAAGTTCTAGGACAGCCAGAACTACACAGAGAAACCTTGTCTAGAAAAACAAGATAAAAAAATCAGAAGTTAATTATTGACCTTATTTCCCACCCAGTGCCTAAATCCATATGTGCTGCTGTCGTGGGATAAAATGAGCAAACTGGTGAACGAGAGAAGCCCATCTCCCCGCTGTGTAAGGGACTGAAAAGCCCAGGGTTGAAGTTCTTCCTAATGCATCTCCACGTGGTAGAAGGACAGGAGAGGCCAAAATAAATGAAGTGAAGCCCCTTGCCCTTCTCACAGCACATGAACCCAGATAGTTCCCATCAGGGTCACCTCCCAACATTCTTTCAATCTCTATCACATGATTTCTGAAAGAAGCATTCAAATGGCAGCAGGCAAACCACAGCCCAACCACAGCCCAACCCTGCCAGGCCCTGGTTGGACACAGGGCTGCTGAGGGAGGCCACACTCATTTAGTTACACATCTTTGGGAGCGCTCACTCTGATGGTCAAGCTGAGAACTTGAGACAGAGACTACCTAGGTCCCAAGGCATAAAAAGTTTGCTTTAGTGATCTCTCTCTCTCTCTCTCTCTCTCTCTCTCTCTCTCTCTCTCTCTCTCTCTCCTCTTCCATCCCTTGCTCTCCCTTTCCCCTCCGTCTCTAATATTCTGAGTTTAATGTTTAAAAGGCCTGTTCTTTGCATCTTTGGAAACACAGGGTTCATTTGAAGTTAGCCTGTTCAGAGAGCGGCTGCCACATTCCCACTTCTAGTAGCTGCACTTCCATGGCCCCCTTTTCATCACTGTGTGTCTGTGCAACAAGGCATCCTTTCCAGGAGGCTCCTACAAAAAGTGCTGGGCCCTGAGTGAGGGGACAAGGTGAGGGCAGTGTATTTAGATCCTGTGGTCAAGTTGGCCTTGTACATGAGCTATTGTACTAAAAGGCAAGCTCTTTCCCATATCCTCCTTGGAGACTCTACTAATGAGTCCAAGGGCTAGGGGATGCTGAGTACAAGAGAAACAGTATTCTTCTCATCCTGAGATCCACAGCTCGGCCACCATGTCACCTAACCTTCCACAGCCATAAAATGCGAGAGTTGGAATAAAGACAGATTTTGTCAGCTCTGTGACTTGATAAAAAGCTTATGGCGCCTACCTTGATATCTCCTAATTGCTGTTCTTTAGGTACGTAAAGGACAAAAAAAAAAAAAAGATAAAGTTTCTTTCTTGGGCAATTTTGGCCTCGGGGGCATATTCTCTGAGATTATATGTTCACCACCCATGGAGCTGATAGAGCATTACCATATTTTCTTGCATTTCAGATTACAACCTGTTTCTCGTGGCTGCTCATGAATTTGGCCATTCCTTAGGACTCTCTCACTCCAGTGATCCTGGTGCCTTAATGTACCCAAACTATGCTTACAGTGACCCCAGCACCTACTCACTGCCTCAAGATGATATCAATGGCATTCAGACACTCTACGGTAAGATCACTGTGAACAACATGGTGGAAAACAGTAGCTCTTGGGAACTGGTCTCAACAGGTCAAGCATCCAAGTGTCTCTCCTTTGGAGTCTCTGGATTCTATCCACAAGGGAAACTCAAATTGATCTCTGAAAGTTACCAGTAGCGTAGTGTTCTCAAAAGATTCCTGTGGGGCTGAGCCTCTGATGTGATTTCTCTGCATCTTGGTTTTTAGTTATTAGATGTCTGTTGCTGCCTTAAAGGGAAGAGTGGGGGACAGTCTGCTGGTCCATATCTGTAGCACTCAGGAGCCTGAGGCAGGAGAACCAGGAATTTGAAGCTAGCTTGAACTACATAGTGAGATGTGGTCTCAAGAAAGGAAGCGGGAAAAGGAAGAAGGGGGGAGGAAGGAGGGAGGGAGGAAGGGAGGGGAGGAATGAAGGAGAAAGGGAGGGAGGCAGATAAAGGAAGGGAAGGGAGAGTGGGAGGGAAGACTTGGAGAAATGTATAGAAGTACTTCCTCATAATTATCTCTAAATGGCAGGGACATTTTCTTCCTCCATTTTTATGCTTTCTAGTTTTATATATTCTGAAAAGACATGATTACCCCTTTTCATACAGCAACTCTCCTCCCAGAATCCACTGTTAAAGAAACCCTCCCACAAGGACTCCAATGTACAGTACGGCTCGTCAAGGAAGGGAATGGCTCAGTTGCCTTTAGCCTACTGGCTATGGGTGAAATAGGACCTCTGTTGGTCTTTTCTGTGTTGAACACACAGATTGCAAGCCCAGTGCCACTTTGAGATCTTTGGCAGCAGTTAACTCTGCAGCTCACACACAATTGAGCCTGTATGATAATAAGTATTCAGAGACGAGTAATTCCTGGGGGGCACTCACCAACCTAAGACAGAGCACCTGTGTGGCCTGGGCAGGCGTCTCCATGAAGGGTAAAGTGACCTGCTGACATCCCACACAACCCAAGTCAGAAGCTCATTTTTTAATAAAAGGGGGACCTGTAGGTCCCTGGCCCCCGTTTTGGGTAACTGTTGCCTTGTTTGCAGACCTTGACCTTGATGTCCTCCCTATGCTAATTCCCTGCCAGGTTCCACCCTCCTGAATGCTTAAGGGAAGTTCCTTGTCTGCATATCTTGAATAATGGGTGTTAACAGCTTAGATGCAAGATTGTAAAACATCAGTAGCGAATTTCTGCCCTCTGGGGTTCTCCCATTGTGCTGTAAGCCTGTATTTAAGACCTCCTCCCTCCTTCAATAAATAACATTCAGCATTTTAATATATATATTTGAATGAATACTGTGAATGTAATCTATGAATACCACAAATGTGATTAATATCATGAGTGTAATTAATGAATATCATGAGTGTAATTTAAAAAATAAAAATTAAAAAAAAGAAAAGAAAAGAAACCCTCCCATAGATCCCTAAGCAGACATGTGTAAGGCCTGTCAAGAATGTTCAGTGAAGTATGATTTGTGGTAGGGGACCAGAGGGAGATCCATACCCTCCCTCTTGCCCTCCTGCTCCCTGAAAGTGTGAAAGACAGTGGGAAGGGGAGGAATTGCTCTCTCCTCTTTGGGTGGGGTTGCCCTATAAATCAAGAGTATGGGCATCATATCAGGAAATTTTCTCATTATGGCAGAATTTCTAAGAATGAGAAAGTTCACTCAAACCCCAACTCCACCCCACAAGCCAACAGTCCCACTTCCTATGCTTGCCAATGTTTTAAATTCTCTTGGCACCCTGGTATTTCTTAATGAAAAGTACAGTCCTTAACTCCACAATGAGAAAACTCAGTAAGATGTAAATTATCGTGTATTTATTTAATATTTTGAGACATTGTCTCACTCACTCTGTGTCCGGACTAGTCTCAAACCTGTTACAATCCTCCTGCCTCAGTATCCACAGTGTTGGAATTACAAAGCCTGTGTTACTTACTGTTTTAGTTAGGGTTTCTATTGCTGTGAAGAGACACCATGACCATGGTGACTCTTATCAAGGAAAAATATTTAATTGTGGTAGCTCGCTTATAGTTCAGAGGTTCAGTCCATTATCATCATGGTGCAGCATGGTAGCGTGCAGGCAGACATGGTGCTGGGGAAGTAACCAGGTGTCCTACACCTTAACTTACCGGCAACAGGAAGTTTACTGTCTCACTGGGCATGGCTTGAACATATATGAGACCTAAGAGCCTGTGACTACAGTGACACACTTCCTCCAACAAGAACACACCTCCTAACAGTGCCACTCTCTTTGGGGGCCATTTTCTTTCAAACCACCCCAGCTACCATGTCCAGCCAAGATGCAAATTTTTATAAAAAACAAACTAAGCTAGATTTATGCTATAGAGAAAGACTAATATGAGACCTATCCTGTGTTTGGGTTCTTGTGGGGACCAAGGAAGTGGATTCTCAGTGTCAAAAGGCAGGAAGAGGAAGCAGGAGGGAGGAAGGTGGGTCAGAATCAGAAAGGAAGCATAGAACGCCAACGACTTGTCCGCTTAAGTAGGAGCCATGTTACTCTAGAGAACAGACCAAGCCTTTAAAAAGGTCACATGTAGAGAGTCTGCTGTGTCTTGTGGAATTGGCTGGTCGCTTTTTTCTCATGAAAAGACATTTTACCTTCCTAAGTATTGGACACACACACAAAAGCAGCGCTGACTCACACTTATTAAATGTCTTTATTTCCCAGGACCTTCAAACAGCCCTATCCAACCTACTGGGCCCAGCACCCCCACAGCCTGTGACCCCCACCTGAGATTTGACGCTGTCACCACACTCCGTGGGGAGATTTACTTCTTTAAAGACAAGTATAAAATTGAGCTGTTCCTTCTTGTATATGTCTCTCTCTCAGACCTTAAAGCTAACTTGTCACTTGGCTTTCCTTTTGACCCATCACATAGGCATATCCATGAAATCCTTAGTGTCCTCTGGGTGTCAGAAGCATCCAGAGGGTGGGGACTAGAACACCAACCATCCACAAGCGTTTCTGACGTGGTTGGGCTCTTTCAGCACTGGACCTATTAAACGCTGAGAGCCCTACCCATGTTAGGCTTGTCAGGGAAGGAAGAGGGTATGATGCCAACTGGGGTCAAATAAGATCCCCCCTGTGACCTCCAGAATCTGTCAAGGGCTCACCAGATGAACATCACTGCATAAATCATGCATATGTTATACATGTATACACTGCGGAAACCAGGAAAGGGTCATTTGTAGCCAAGCATCTCAGAAAGTAACACTCTCTCCCTCCCCCTCCTTTCCCCATCCCATGTCCTTATATTCCTTTAGGTACTTCTGGAGGCGGCATCCTCAGCTGAGAGAAGTTGACCTCAATTTCATCTCTCTTTTCTGGCCATTCCTGCCCAATGGCCTTCAGGCTGCTTATGAGGATTTTGATAAAGACCTAGTTTTCCTATTTAAAGGTAATGTTCTCCTTCTTGTCTTCCTGAAGGGTAAGGCAGGACTTCTCTTTGCCCCGCACTTTCAGAAAGCACAAACCAGGAAGACTCCTGTCAGGAGTCCAGGCTTAGGCCCCACCGTGGTCACAAATGGCTGAGTGAATTTGCACAGGCTGGACCCTCAATAGGTCTTAGTACTGTCCTCAACAAACACAACTCACGTGACCATTTTCAGTATTTCTCTGCCCTCATGCTAGACATTATTTTCTAAGACAACTCCAGGCTGTGATTTAGTCTCTATACATAAGTCACACCAGGCAAAACATCTGGTTTGGGGGCCTTGAACGACAGGTTGAAATGTTTGATGTTTTACAGAGAGGAACCGTTAGAGCCGCCATTGCGCTCTCGCTGTTCAGACTGTCTGTTCCATTTTCATTACTGTGGGGATCGCAAAGTCATTATCACAAAGATACTATACTGTAGAAAGAAAGAGCTTTGTTAAAGGTGTTTCCTGAATTGTCGGCAGGCAGGCAGTACTGGGCTCTAAGTGGCTACGACATTCAGCAAGGTTACCCCAGGGACATAGCCAACTACGGATTTCCAAGCAGCGTCCGAGCCATTGATGCCGCTGTCTCCTACAGAGGGAAGACGTATTTCTTCATAAACAACCAATGCTGGAGGTGAGATGATGGAGTTTTTCCATTAAGGTTGACACCTGTGTTTCTCTGCCCTGTGTGCAAACCATCAACATGGACATCTGGAGATGTGTTAATCTACATGGTCTTGGACAGACTTAGTGAGGACGTGGTCTTAACATGAACTTTTCATTTTTATCACATTAAGATGCCTACACAAATGTACTGAGGATTCTGTATCATGAAAAGTTCACACCCTCGTAAAGCTGTAGGGTGGGATATACAGAAAGAAGAGGGTTGATTCTTACTGTGAGTTGAGTTCTGATGTTCTCAAATGAATGTTTTCCACCTCACTGGCAGAATTTGGTGCACAAGAGGAAGATATTAAAACAAGAAAACAGAAGAAGGATTCTCTGTAGGAAGGAAGTGGATGGGGGAGGGGCTAAAGGGAGGGCAATGGAGATGTGACTAGGAATGAACAGTGGTGTATATGTGTGAAAGGGTCACTAAGAAAAATATTAATAAAAAGAATGCATGTATTTACATTATATACACATGCACACACATACACAAGATTATTCTTAATTTACCAAGCAAGTAAAATATCTAGAAAATGTAACCTCTAGTTTTGGGAAATAACCTGAATCAGCAATTAGAATGCTGCTTTAGAATCAGTGGTTCCCACGTGTTTTAAAACAAAACACCGTTATGTAGAGAAGTTAAGCATTCTTAACCTCAGTGAGTGTGAGTGGGGCAGTGAGGACTTAGTGTGAAAATGTGTAAGAGTGAGCGGGGCCCAGTGAATACTTAGTGTGAAAATGTGTAAGAGTGAGCGGGGCAGTGAGGACTTAGTGTCGAAATGTACAGAGAATGCTTTATAACACACACAAATTAAAAGAATGTGTACTGCCTTTTAATCGGTGACGCTTTGCTCTCGTTAGATATGACAATAACAGAGGAACTATGGACCCAGGCTACCCCAGAAGCATATCAAGGGCTTTCCCAGGAATAAACTGCAGAGTTGATGCAGTTTTCCTACAGGACTGTAAGTAGGAAAAAGAAAGTTAACGAAATGGTTTAAGTTTGTAAAATAACACAGTTGTGCTTGTATATTCTGCTTGGTCTCTTTGGCGGGACACTCGCTTGCATGTCTGAGATCTCTAGGCTCACTTGGGTTTGTCCCTTTCTTACAGCCTTCCTCCTCTTCTTCAGTGGACCACAGTATTTTGCATTTAATCTTGTCACTCACAGCGTCACTAGAGCTGCAAGAAGCAATTTATGGCTTAACTGTCCATACAGTTGAGACAAAGTCAAATGTCCTTGCATTGGATCTACGGATACAAAAGGGCAGCTCAGCCTGCGTATTCATCCTGTGTCCTGCTCACTTCCCTCAACTGCGACCGACGCTGCAGCCGTCCTGAAAGAATAGGAGTTTGTAATCTCCCGTTCTCCACAGAGGCGGATTCCTTCTGCACATCCCAGGCCTGGCTAGTTAACACACAACAAAGAGACAGCAAACCACTCATCAGCTTAATCCACACTCTTTCATTATCTGCCCTTCTGCCTCCTAAACCTTGTGCTTTACTACTTGGATATCTGACTCCCAGTATCCCTAAAGCTCTTCAAAAGTAGAATCTACTAATGGATTTTGATTTACACATAGGATTATAAACAGCATAGAGATTACCCCTGGTCTTTACAGAAAACATGCTGTTATTTCCTTCTCTGAGAGAATATGTTTTGTGGTTTGAATCATGCCCTTCATCATGCTAAGAAAGAAAAAAATACATTGAAATCTTAACCCCAGATGCTTATCTGGAACTGGAGTCTTTGCAGGTAGAATTAATTGTGTGTAAGGGACAAGATGGCTTTACAGAGGATTAGGGTGAGCCCTAAACTCATGTGTGTCCTTATAGAAAGGGGGCAGGGATGCACATATAATGCAGAGGTAAAGCATTTACCTAACATGTTTGATTCTGAGGGGGTTGGGGCAGAATCACCAGAGGCAAAGTCAAACATTGGAAGAGACCAAGCAAAGAGAACCAGAGACTGGAGGATGCATCTGTAAGGCTGCTTGCCAATACTTCCCCAGCCAGTGGCAGGTAGGAAGAGGCCTGGAAAGGACCATTCTCTTCAGCAAGCAGATCTTGGTACCAAGACACTTGCTGACTTGAGGTTTCTGGCTTTTGTGAAAAAATAAACTTGTTTTTCTACTCTGCAGAATATGTGTTCCTTTGTTTGAGAAGCCCTAGAAAGCCAACACAGTGCATCAGCACTTAGAACCACTGAGGCATGTTGCTGAGTAGTGGAGTTCTTAACTAGCACACATGAGGTCCTAGGTTCAATTCCTGGTAGCAGGATTAAAAACAAAACAATACATAGGAATAACAAAGACAAAAAAGCCACCATCAAGTTCAGGTGGTTGACATCTATCTGTGCTTAAGAAAAGAAACCAACACAGAAGGTCCAGTCACACCGTGCTGAGGACTCTGAGGTAGCTTCCCAGTGCAGCCACAGGAGGAGAGGCCCACTTCCTCTCCCCCTTCTCCCTGCTCCCTCTTTTGAGAAGCCAAACAAGTAAGTGCAGAAAACACATATGCTACCTCCTCCACTGTCAATCACAGTCAATGTCAGGTTCCTATTTCTAAAACATCTCGATATGACAGTTTTTAAAGGTATAAAAGCAAGAGGTACATTTTTGCCTGACATCTGCTACTTCTGTGAGTTGGTCTTGACAGATTGCTGACCCAAACATCATTTTTACATTTTGAGATGAGAACTCATTTCCTTCTGTTTTGTTAGCCATATCTCAGAGTCATAGGCATTTTCTAGCTGTCACATCTGTGTGAGCACAAGAGATGAAAGAAGCTGAGCTTAGACTTTACATTATGAGATCCCTCTGCATTTATTTTGGGTTTATTTAAAAGCAACCCCTAAGTGAAGACCTTGGTGCAATTATTCCAGGAGTAAGAGGAGACAGCCTGTGCAATGGAGTGTAAAAGGAGGAGATGCCAGTACAGTACATCACAGGTCACCAAGATTTCTGCTGTGAGCGTCTGGCCCTTGCTTTCACCAGGACCTGCTGAGAATTCCGCAGAATACTGGAGGCAGGAGAATTCTTTGCCATTTCCATCTCCAATTTGGAGAGGATTATTTCAGGGAGTGTTTAATTCCTACACTTCTAAGCTGTATTTCAAACTGATCTGGCAACTCCATGTCATCCCAAGGGCAGAAAGACTTAGTTTGTCACAAGAGGGTGAGCTGCACAATCAGAGGTGTGCTTGGGGAGGCGATGCAGGGAGAGCATCAAAGATGCCTTGCAGGTTGCTACAGGGAGACAGCAATGGCCAGAAACTGGAGAGTCTGTTCTGGAGAAACGCAGCAGTCTGGGAAAAGCAGATCTACAGGTGCCGCCTGGAAGCCCGGGAGTGGCTGCCCGACGTTCTCCGCTTCCTTTACAGCCCAGTTTCCGTGTTCCCATTGCACACACCCTAGACTGTACAGCCTTCCCTGCAGATAGGTGTGGCGTGTCCCAAACTCCCACCCAAAATGTGCAGGCTAAACACTGTGTGGCGTTTCTCAAAGGATGTTAAGAATTGCCTTTCTTCCATCCTCCTGTGCTACCTGCAGGCACAGTGGCTCGATCTTGAGAAACCTGGACCCTGGTGGCATGGAGTCATCCTAGAAGCCACAGACTATCAAACCTAGTCTGTTCTTACACTAGGAAAACATACATTTTAGTATTATTAACCATCTGCTACTATGAATTTTTCTGTTGTATTCAACTAAATCTGACTGACTAATACATGGAAGGCCTGAGACACTGCCACTTCCTGCAAGGAAGGTTCCAGAGTCCCCAGGCTACCCTCAGATATAAGAGCTTCCAGGGACCTTTCTTTCCCCAGAGTCCAAACAGATTGCACATCACAGAGTCACCAAACATTTGAAGAAAGTTTGCAATGTGAAAGACAGAGACCAAACAAGAAAGTCTGAGAAATCAGAGACAATTCTCATTTAAAAAAAAAAAAAGTGAAAATAAAGAATGTTTAACATCATCAACATAAAAAAGACATATTACAAAAAATTCAATTACAAAATTATAATACATAATAATAAACAAACAGTTACTTAGATTACTAAATAGTGCTCCTTACAATTACAGACTTAGAGCCAGGGAGATGCTCAGTGGGTAGAGTATTTGCTGTACAAGCAGAAGAGCTGAGCTAGGATCCCCAGAACTCAGAGAGAAGCCAGGCATCATAGCACGATGCTGTATTTTACTTAAACTAACTCCTGACTCAATTGTCTTTTCACATCACATACCAAAATATGCTAGCATTTCCTAGCAGAAAATAATTTCAAAAGTCATGTCAATTTTGAGAAGAGAAAGCTAACTTGAGGCCTTATTATGTAATATACTCAATTCAAAAGTGAGCAATATATTGGATAAACAAACAGACTTTGATTGCAAAATTCCAGTCTGTCTAGGGCGGGGGGAGTCATGGGACACTTCGGGCAAGTGTCCTTTGCTGTTATTAATTAAAGGGACACTTGGTGCCACGTCTCACTGTGAACTTTCTAAACCCCATGCACACAGGAGGGAGCTTCAGCTGAAGAGGCCGGAATGAAGTGCCTTCTGCAGCTGCTGTTTAATTTCGTAACACTTTCTTCTGCATTTCCACCAGACCGGAAGGACAGGAATGGGGGGAACGATCTGCTGGCCCAGGTAGGCTCTCCACGCGTACTATTAACAACTGGCAATGAAGTGTGTGTTGTACAGCTTCTCCCGGGACCTTCCAATATAGCAAATTTCTGCAGAGTCCAGAGGTTCTCAGAAGAATGAGGTCCCATTCATGTGTCTAACTCTAAAGACATGAACTGGGTACGAGGTGAAGGGAAGGGGCAGTGGAGAGGAGACTGGATTTCCTAACCCTTTACACAGTGGTCACTAAGGGGCCACCATGAGAGAAGAATGAAACAGCTAACAAGGATGGACAAGGATAGAAATCTGTATAACTACCTTTCAAGACAACCACCCACAGAAATCTACAATCTAGAACTCCTTAGGCACATATACTTTATGTGTCTGAGTATGTATATATACACAGAGAGATATACAAATGTAGACATGCATGCATAGATGTGTATATATGCATGTTTATAGATATGAAAAGTATGCAGCTTTAGCCATTCCTTCTGAAAGCCAGTTAATTTATCATATTTTGGTTAAATCATGTAAGTGTGGAAAATAGGTGATCACCCCTGGTATCTCCTGAAGTTTGCAAGATAAAAAGAACAGCAAGGACGCATCAGGTGTGCCCGCGTCATCGTTGAGGATGCGTGCTGCATGGACCGTGTGGTTTGGCTAACTCTAGTCCCTCGTAAATCACTGATTCCTGGAGCTGGAAGACAACAGTGACTCCTCCTTTCCCTTCGCCTCCTGCCCTTCTCTTCCCCTTGCTGTTTATTTCCTCTTTATCCTTCCCGCTGCCAAAGGCGATCTCAGGCCACTTTGTTTCACTTGAGGAAAATGTTTGCCTCCTGCAGCCTCTGTTCCCTCTCTGTCTTTTGTCAGGCGTACCTCAACCAGTTCTACTCGCTTGAAATAGAAGGGAGTCATCTTGTCCAAAGCAAGAACAGGAGTCTCCTGGACAGCAAACTTCGGGAAATGCAGGCGTTTTTTGGGTTGACAGTGACCGGAAAGCTGGACTCAGACACCCTTGAGATCATGAAGGTGCCCAGGTGTGGGGTGCCCGATGTGGGGCAGTATGGCTACACCCTCCCGGGGTGGAGAAAACACAACCTCACATACAGGTAATGTTCCACCAACTTTCATGAACTAACCCAGACAATTAATCTCCAAGAAGCAACCATAATACGGCTTATCTGACCCTCCCAAGCACACTGCACTTGATGGGTTCCACGGATCCTGTCTCCACTTTAGACCTATGCTGTGGCAGTGTGGCTGCTGCAGCCATAACCACAGAGGAACTAAATCCGAGGGCTGCTGCCTGTAGCCAGTGGTGCAGAGGACACCGGCTTGGGCAGATAGGTTCTAATGCCTACCTGTCCTCCCCAGTGTGAGCTCAAGACAGGAAGCACTGCCGTCTGCTCCAGTGAGATGGAGGGCGTGATGAGGTGTACAGGAAGATGGGAGGCTGCGTGTGTGTATACACTGCGTGCGCATGTGTGTGTGGTGTGTGGTGTGTGTGTGTGTGTGTGTGTGTGTGTGTGTGTGTGTGTGTGACATCTCAAATCTTGGGTGGGTCCCATTATAAAGAGTCATTTGCCCTCAGCTATCTAAGGATAAGGGGCTACAAGAGATGGAATGAAAAAAGAAGAAGAAAGAAAGAAAGCCAGCTAAGGGCTAGAGCAATGACCAACAGTTATTGTGAGAAATCCACAGAGTCTGCTTCAGTGTTAAAGGAGCGTATGAGGGAACAGCACGACAGTGTGGGAGCTTTCTCGTGGGGTCCTGGAAGTCCGAGGTACAGTCCCACTGTTCTTCCCCCTGAGTCCGTCTCGGCATCCAAGCCCACAAGGGAGAGAAGGTGGGCATAAGTGTGTCTCAGGTCCTAAGCATAGTCCCAAGCCAGGCCCTGGGGCAAGCACTTCAAGGTCATAGGTAGGTAGCACAATTACCTGCTACATCTCTAGGGGCAATGCTTCCAGGTCATAGGTAGAACAGCTATCTACTACAATCAGTTAAGAGCCTTTACGCTCTAGCTGAGGATCCAGGTTTGATTCCCAGTATCCACGTGACAGCTCACAACTGTATGTGACTCCAGTTCAAAAGGATCCGATGCCCTCTTCTGATTTCTGCGGGCCTTTGCACACATGCAGCACAAATACTTTGTGCATGTACACACGCGCGCGCATACACACACACCTCACATACATAGGAAGAAAGAAAGAAAGAAAGAAAGAAAGAAAGAAAGAAAGAAAGAAAGAAAGAAAGAAAGAAAGAAAGAAAGAAAGAAAAAAGAAAGGAAGGAAGGAA